ATTCCAGTTATTCAAAAAAGATTTTTTATTGAAAGACAGCAGAAATTCTGCATCCAAGAAAAAAAAATCGTTCGCATTCGATTGGTCACGTCAAAAAAAAAATCGGTGTCGGGGCCTAATTGGTTAAGCATCCTTAGTGGTGCTTGAATAGATATCTGGTTTATACGGTGGCTTGCAGCTTGTTTGCTCCTACTTAACTCTGAAGCTAAGTCGCTCATCATGTTTATTTCCCGATTTCGATAGATGTAACTGGAACGTTCGTAGATGTTCATTCCCTTTAGCATCAGTGGGACATTCGAAACCAGTCCATTCCTAATTCACCTCGTTTTTGCCAGATTTAGTCAAAGTCCAATCTTTCAAAGTCGGTAAGCATTCGTTCCGCTTAGATGTTTGGTGTTATAAGGACGATGTCATCAGCAAAGCGAAGATGGTGTAACTGCCGACCGTCGATTTCACTCCCATATCATCCTATTCCAACGTTCGCATGACATTCTCGAGGGTGGTAGTGAATGATTTTGGCGAAACTGTATCGCTTTGCCTAAGTCCTCTTTTGACGTCAATGTTAATATCGTTGTAGAATGATTACATCTTTGTTGTGAAACTTTTGTGCAACTAACGAAGAATCTTTATGTGCTGAGTAGGAACTCCTGACTATCAAGGGCTTTCAAGACTGCTTCTATCTCAAATTAAGTCAAAGGCCTTCTTTAAATCGGTGAAAGTGATACAGATCGGTGTTTTGTACTCTCGCGATACTTTAATGAGCTCTGCTATCGTGTGGATCTGGTCCACCATGCTAAATCCTTTTCGGAACTCTGCTTGCTCTGATGAATATTTTTCATCCAGTGTTCTGTTAACCCTGTTTAGGACGACGCGAGTAAAGAGTTTGTAGACGATAGACAAAAAGCAGATTGGGCGATTGTTGCCGAGGTCGTGTAGGTCCCCCTTCTCGAACAATAACACGGTTTTGCCGGTTTTCCACTGAGTAGGAACTTTGTATTCGATCAAGCAACGTGTGAACAACCGAGCTAGTGTGTTTACGAAGACAGGGTGAAAGTTCTCCAGCTCTTCCTATCCTATCCTGTCCGGACCTGGTGTTGTTTGAATCTTCAATGACGAAGCAGCATGTTGGATTTTGGAAGAGACAATCGGTGGTAGGAATATCCATCCTCTTCTATTCCATATGAGGGTGGAGGACGAGGCTATTGAAGAGATCCGAGTAGTAATCGGGAATGATTTCTCCGTTGCCCTACTGGACGCTGTAACTGTTCCGTCTGGGCGCCGGAGGGCAATCATTTTGGTCCTGTAATTGGCTAAGCTTTGGTGGGCTTTGCGAATGCTTTTCCCAGCTCTGCAGCTTCGACCATAACTGCTGCTGTTCTCTCTTTACGATCTTCTTTCATCGCCTCTCTGCATTGTTTTGCAAGTTCGGACGTTAGTTCGCGGTGCCTGCAGCTCGTGCGATTCCACGCTGGCGTATCGGCACGAGTGTTTCTAGGAACACACTTGCCTTAGTGACTTTTGAACTCTCAACTTTCATGCGTTAACGTGAAGGCGTTAAATGAGCCGATCGTGTTGCTCGTCGATGTTATGAACAACGGCGTCATCCGAACACCCGATTAGTGAACTGAATAAATCTCAGTTTATGATGGTTTTGAGACTTCGCTTTTCGGAATTAGTGGCTTTTACTCCTTTCCGTAAATTTTGCACGAAGACGATGTTTCATCCCCTGAAGAACTCTGGCACAACAGCGACAGTGGTCAAGCAAAACCTTCGATTTACTACTACCTGGACTATTTCACTACGTTACTCTCCATTGGTACAGCTCCTCGTTTAGTGTAGAGAGTGGTGCTTCTGGAATTGCGATAAACCATGAGTGGTCTTGGTTGTCATGATAAACTCAGACAGTCGCTCATTCTTCTCGTTCCGTTCTAATCATTGCGACTCTATATGACGTTCTTCTGGGTCCAATCGTAGCATTGGAATCTCCAGTGATCACCTTAAAGAATGTATTATCTCTGCAGAACTTCTCCAAGTCCATATAGAACGCTTCGAGTTCTTCTTCGCCATAGCTTGATGTCGGCGAGTAAACGACGAAGATTACCAAAACCGATATTAATCCACTTCTCTTCAATCGTAGACAACTGATTCTCGTTGTTAGTTGCCCGAATCAATCGATGCTCATGGTCAAACTCGTGTTGCCCCAAACGCCGACACTGCCGACTTCTCAAATGCCCTATGTTCTGAGGAACTGTTCTTCTCCGGTGTCACAGACGGCTTTGAATGGTTGGCGTCTTCTCGTCTCAGTCAGTCCGATGACGTCTTTCCCTATCTTTCTGGGCTGCACGGTCAGGTCTTCTACCAGGACTAAGACGCAAGGGTGCGTGCAGTGTATACACGTATCTTCACCTTAGTCCTTTGCGATCTATGCCGCCTAGAATGACCCTGAAATTTTAGTAGCCTCTGCGTATTCGTCCTATACATGCTTTCGAAATATGGACTCTTTCGGGGTCAAGGAATGGTCAATTTTTTTGTACTTCTTTTTAGCATCTAATACCCACGTATAGCTTTATCCGCTTTGTATGTGAAGCCTAGCTATACCCACGGGTATCTTGCCAGCCTCACCTAGAGTGGACACTGAGCTTATTTGTTGGGGCGAATCCTGACAACCTCCTATATAGTTCTCTATTACTTGACTGCAAGCTTTTGGCCGAACTGACCTGTAGAACACAATCGGCATAAACACACACATAGAACACACCCACCCACGCATGCAAGCATAAGTCCTTGTAAATCCAGAAAAGTGCTAAATCGGCGCAGCAGAAACAAGGAATCCATCTCCTGTACCAACCTGTGCCTAAGGGAAGCAAATGTCCCTCGTCTTTAGTCAGCGATTAGTCCCACTCCATACTCCCCTCACGTACCCACCACATGGATACGCACCACGTTGCGTCGCGACCAACCTGCATGAAATCCGTCTATGAGGGGGATCCGTGGTCCTGATATATGATGTGCACATATATATATATATATATATATATATATATCACGCTCTTCACGCTACCGCTATGAAAGCTCAGAGTTCGAAAGTCACACACTCGAGCTGGTACGCCAGCGTGGAATCGCACGAGCTGCAGGCAACCGCGAACTGTCGTCCGAAATTGTAAAACAATGCAGAGAGGCGATAAAAGAAGATCTTAGAAAGAGAAGAGCGGCAGTAATGGCCGAAGCTGCAGCGGCTGGGAATACCATTCGCAAAGCCCACCGAAGCTTCGCCAATTACAAGACCAAAATGATTGCTCTCCGGCGCCCAAACGGAACAGTGATAGCATCCAGAAGGGTAACGGAGAAATCATTCACGAATACCACTCAGATCTCTTCGATAGCCACGTCTACCTTTCGTCATATGAAATAAAAGAGGATGGATATGTTGTACCACCGGTTCTCCCTTCCGAAATCCGACACGCCATTTCGTCGGTGAAAAATCGAACAGCAACAGCACTAGGTCCGGACAGGATAAGACCAGAACACCTGAAGAACCTTCCGCCAGTCCTCGTAAACATACTGGCTCGGCTCCTCACACGTTACCTGTCTGAATTCAAAGTCCCTACTGAGTGGAAGACCAGCAAGACCGTGTTATTGTTCAAGAAGGGTTACCTGCACGATAAGGGCAACTATCGCCCAATCTGCTTATTGTCTGTCATCTACAAACTTTTCACTCGATTCGTCCTAAACAGGATTGACAGAACACTAGACGAAGGACAGCCATGTGAGTAAGTAGGGTTTTGAAAAGGATTTAGTACGATGGACCACATCCACACGTTAACAAGGTTCATTGAAGTATCGCGAGAGTACAAAAGACCACTCCGTTTCACTTTCATCGGTTTAAAGAAGGTTTTTGACTCAATTGAAATAAAAGCAGTTATGGAATCCTTTGATAGCCAGGGAGTCCCGATTCAGTACATAAATATTCTTCGTAAGCTGTACAAAAATTTCACAACCGAGATATCATCATTCTACAACGATATTAACATCGACGTCAAAAGAGGGGTTAGACAAGACGATACCATCTCGTCAAAATTATTTACCGCCACCCTCCAGAACGTCAACTGAACATTGGAATGGGATAATATGGGAGTGAAAATCGACGGTCGGCAGTTACACCACGCTTTGCTGATGACATCGTCCTCATAACACCAAACATCCAAGTGGAACAAATGCTTGCCGACTTTGATAAAGCCTGTAGAAAGATTGGACTTTGACTAAATCTGGCAAAAACCAGTTGAGTTAGGAAGGGACTGGTTTCGTGTGTCCCATTCATGCTAAAAGGAACGAATATCTACGAACGCTCCAGTTATATCTATCTAGGTCGGGAAATCAATATGATGAACGACCTAGCTCCAGAGCTGAGCAGAAGAAAACGAGCACCTTGGGAGCTTTCAAGAGCATGGAGGATGTAGTGAAAAGAACAAAGAGCACCCGACTCCTTGCCCACCTTTTCGAGTCAACGGTACTTCTTGCCCTAACGTATGCGTCAGAAACCTGGTCGCTGCGTAAGCAAGATGAAAGATCACTCAACGTTATCGATATATATGCATATATATATATATATATATATATATATATATATCATACACAAAACCCATGCGGATGCACCATGGAATTATATAGCAACGAAATGGATTTTAGTGGCATGACAACAGAGCTCACGCTTCCCTTTCCATCACATTTTACCCTTCTTTTCTTAGTTGTCAAAATAACAGTTAAACAGCTTTACAACAGCTTTACAGGGCTTGACAAAAGGTGTAGGCACATCGCTTTCACTTTCGTTGAAAATATTTCAAATTTCTAACCAAGGTTGCTGCGAAATTGAAAGCTGCATGTGCATCACCTTCTGATGCTGCTCCATCACCAAAATAAACAACGACAATGCGATCATTGTTGGGTATCTGTTTGAATGCATATGCAGATCCGACAGCCTGCAAATGAACATTTTGGGGTGGTCAAATTTGTACACATAGCCTATCCCAAAGGGAAAGACGAGCCTGAGGTAACTGTGTAGTGAGTGGACTGGAAATTGTGACAAAGTTATGCTCAACTGAACCATAGTGCACTGGCATTTGTCGCCCTTTCCCTAAAAAGGAAAAAAGCGATAAGAAGTAAGTGAAACATTATATGACCAGATGTTACAAAGCATCGCAATAGTGCAAACCATCACTAAGTAACCATACCTATATCTTTACAATTTCCGTAACATTGGTGCATTAAGTTTTCCAATGGGAAATTCCTCCACATCAATACGCCAACTTCACGATACTGTCCATAAATCAGGTCTTTGTCCAAAACTGCTGCAGCAGAGCCAATATGTGTTCCCTGTTGTGAAAAGAAAACGAACTAAATGAAAAAGAAAGCATTAATGGTATTCATTATACAGGCATTTCCTACAAGTAATCTCTTTTAGAAAAGGAACACAAATACGAATTGAAAAAAGACAGAAACTTAAGAAGGGATTATGTTCGCACTTAAACTACCTCTTCACCAAAGTTGGTTAAGTAAAATGAGATACGTCCTTGACGCTGCGAGTCGTACAAAATGCGATCCATAACGTTAAGCTGCGTCATATCATGATACATTTTCAGAGAAGTTTCCTGGAAAACTAAACATCAGAAAATGTTTCAGAGTTGGGCATCTGCCAGTGCTCTATGATTTATGTGGAAGAAAATCATACATACTTTGTCCAATTTTGGATCTTGAGACTCGTCGACAATATTCCCAAGCGAATTTGTAACTCGATAGATAGGAATAGCTGGTAATTTGTTTGGATCAGTGATTTCAAGCTTTTCGGTGAACACTGCCTTAATAATAACTAGATGAAAACGGTTATCTTAAAAATGTCAATACATATATTTTCGAGGTTTTATCAAGATAGAGCGCGTGTGGTGCAGTGGTCGAAGGGCGACACGTGGGATCACAATCTTAACCCTTTTATTTACTACCTTTTCCTTTTTAATGGCATGGTATGTTGCGAAATATAACTCGTATATAATACTGAGATATTTGCAAAATTGCGGACCGCAGGTATATGCGGTGGGGTCAGATAGTTGACGGGTGATTGCTGATGGCAAAAGATCAATAGAACTAGCTGAGAGACAGGCAAAACGAAGAATCCGGATGGTGTGGTGGTGAAGTGCGCTGCTCCCCGGTAATGACAATAGCGCGTTCGTTCCCCACCGCATACATCTGCGGTCCGGAGTTTTGCAAATATCTTTGCATTATATACACGTGGGATCGATCCCCGCGCCGCAGGCTCACCATACATTCCATCCCTCCTGGATCGGCAACTTGGTACCAGACCTATCCGGGAGGATAGCGGCACTGGCTCGGTACATCGGTAGACCACAGCGACTTATTGCAATGGCAAGATATGCTTTAGCCTCCAACGATCCATAATGAAATCGAATGCATAGCAATCCTTCAAGGATTGAAAACGCCGGGAGCTTTATCCTTTTATCCCTTTTCGAGGTTCTTTGAAACTATGCTATAAGGTCTTCATAAGCGCCATCATTTTCACACATGGGTTGTTCCGAACCAAATAACTCTTGCCGTTTGATGTGTTAATGCGTGAGCGGTTTTGCCCATGATTTTATGACATGAGAAAGACACAACGAAGCAACTACATAACTGAGTTCATTGTGGCAATTGTGGATATGATATCAAATAAGTAAAAATTTTAGATCAAAGATAAATAAGCGATAATAAGTCATATTTGCAATGGAACAGTGAATGTTAACGCATAATATACAAGAGCGGGTTTGTTCCAAAAATACGCTTACATCACTTTCACTCTTGGGAAACACTGACGACACTACACTTTTCCAAAATATCCTTCAATTTTCAAAATATCCTTCAATTTATTCAAAAAATATGCTTCAATAGTGCGACTGTAATCAGCTGTTCTAAACTTCCTCATTGGAAGTCACGTAAAAAGCGGCTCTGAAGAAGGCGATACCGCCGAAACGTCAGCTAGCGTTGTATTGTATTGTGTTTTTCTATTTTTCTATGGAAGTAAATGTATGCTGTTTAAAAACCTCGCGATTGCTGAACAAGAAAATGACACTGTCATTACTGTCACTCACAGCGATTTGTGAGCGTGCTGAAAACCATAAAATACTAATATAACTGCAATGATGCTCAGATTTTTACAAGACTAGGAACCAGGTCACATCGAACCGCGATTACGCTCTCCGGGGCTCAGGTGTCATGCACGGCACCACTGAGCCCCAGTTCAGCGTTTCTCTCAGCCAGTCATTTTATCCTAACGGTGCCATCAGCAATCACCCGCCAAAGGGAATGATCTGGGAAACACAGGTCGTCATTAAAACCAATTACGCTGAGGCTATAGTCGAAATCACAATGTATGAGTTTTATAACTAATCATATAGCTTTGAAATTCCAAGAAACTCTATGGCCGGACGAGTAATCCAGTCGCTCACAACTTACGGTGACGATGTTTGACCACCTGGGCATACCCGTATATATATAAAACTTATCCCAGAAGCCAGGAGCTAATAAACGTAGCGACATGCTGTCCGAAAATTTATAATGCAGTCAACTTATGAACTTATGAACGATAAAGAAAATTTATTTTTGAAAGCACAGAAAAATGAGCTAATGAAAAACTTGAGAGAACATACCTTTCGATATCCCAAATATTTTTCACTAAACTCCTTCAAAGTGAACTCATCCTGTGTACTGAAGTAGTGGATAGCAGTTCTAGCTACAGATGCTCGGGTTACTGATAGATAAAAACGAGGAAGCATGCTGAAACTCCGTTTAAAAATCAGAAGCCACAAAGAAAAGACAGAGCACCAGTAGCATATAGTGGTAAAGAAACGCATTACTAATTAAAAGCCGCAAAGAGATTGACCAGAAGAGTGAGTGCTATGCCAAGTAATTACAGCTCCTATCAGAGTAATGGGCAAGAATTTCCCAAGAGAAATCAAACGACGACATAAGGAAAGAGCCATAACATCCTGATGAAAACTTTTTCAACAAACTTTTACATAGAAACATAGTACAGCAAGAGATAGCAACAATGCGCAAGAATTTTAAAAAGCAACGTAATACTCTAGAATCACATTGTCTCTGTAAAAAAACTAATCACGCATTGATTTTTAGAAAGTACTTAGTTGGAAACCTAGATGCTTTATCTTCACGAAATGTGCGGACTTTTGCATTGCACTTTTGCTATTCGTTTCCTTCCCTCGCAATTATCGTCCATGGCGGTGGTTTTATTCGCGCGTAGTGCCGAATGTGAGTCTCTTACCCTAATCTGTAAAACTGCAGCAGTGAGTATTGCCAACACTTTGCTTACGAACACATGAGCCCAACGTGTAGGTGGCCATCCTAGGGTACGCCTGCATTCTCATGGAGTCCGCTTTACAGTTCTTTTCGTCCAACTGTCGTCTGTTCTTTTCATTATGTGCTCAGCCCATCTGCGTTTTGCTTACGATGTATATTCTTCTGGATCCTGAAGAAGTGACAGATTTCAAAGATCAGAGCTTCGCATTCCGGCTAGATATTGAGTGCGCCAATTATACTTCAGGGGACATCGTTCAAGAGATCTATGAATAGTACGCAATGTTCTTGACGTAGTTGAGTATCAGACCACGTCTCTGCAGCATAATAGAGCGCAGGGTGGAGCGTTGAATCGAAAAGGTTAGCGTGGATTTTCGGGTTCTTCAGTTTCTTGGTGGCTTCTTTGAAAGGCCCAAGCTGCTCTCGTTCTTCTGCCTAACTCCTCCCTCATGCTGTTCTCCATGTTCGTTGTTCGCCCAGAGTCTCATATGTACGAGTTGTTCTCTATAATCAGACTACCCAGTTTCAACCTTCCCACCATGGGTGTCCCATGAACTGGGTCTTCTTCCGATTTATGTGTATCTCAATCTCTTTCCCAGCCTCGTTGAGCTCAAATCTTCTGCTTCGGTGGTGCGTCTTGAGATGATCGAGATGTCGGCGAAACGAAAGTTTGGTAGGAATTTTCCATCAATACCATCACGTCTTTCTCATTCCATTAGAATGATTTCACTACCCATTACGGTGCGGCACTAAACAGTTCTGGTGATTTTGTGTTGCCTTGTCAAACCCCTTTTCCTATGGGTGTGATAAGAGGTCAATGGAAAAACTGTATTTTCGTAGTGCAGTTCCGATAACAGTCAAACAGAGCTACGGATTTACTCCTTGATCGAGAAGTGCCGATAGGATCGCATTAGCTTCGACGCTGCTAAAGGCTTTTTCATAGTAAAAAAAAAATGCCAGGACCAAGGGCTGGTGGTGTTCCCGACAAACTTCAATGATTCACGATACGGCTTGGTAGTCGTCCATGCATCAAAATCCCTGTCGAAATCCAGCTTGCTTAAATGGTTGCGCCCCATCCAATGTCCTCGTTATGCGGGCCAGGATAGTCTTCGAGAACAGCTTATAGATTACACTCAACGAGTATAACGGAAGGCGGTTACGAAGATCCCTTCGGTCATCTTTCTAAGGCAGGATGACCGTATGCGACGTCTTTCACTGGTCTAGCACTTTTTCCTTCCGAAGGTGGGCTCTTATATGGTTTTTGAGAAGTACATGCAAACTGTGGCTAGCTTGCAGCTCTAAAGAAGTCGGCTTTGATATTATCGTGCCCTGGAGCTGTGTCTCTTTACATGATTTATATCGCAACTCGAACCACTGACTAAAGAATTCCAGATGGTTTTCTCCATGGGAAATTTTACTGTCTGGTGGATTGTGGAACGGAAAAGGTTGCTGTAAAACTTTTCCGTTATCGGCTTCGTGCTATGGCGGGATGTTTTAGGTATTCTATCTTCGTCCATCAGGGTTTAGAGCGAAACATAATCACGCGAGCTCCGACATTTTTTCGGACTGGTTCTTTTGTCTCCTGTATCTCGTAATTTATTCTGTCTGTACTGATACAGATCTCCTTGCAAAGCTCTTCTGCAGCTAGCATTTATTAATAGCTGGGTTAAAAGTGTTGCATTGAAATCAAACTTGGAGAACTGAGGTAAATTCGGCACAACTTTTCAGTCCTTAGACAGCTAGCTCGTAGTCCTCGGCCGGGTCTTCTTTAATCTGCTAGTCATGTTTGAGCAGGATTTCGTTCAGAATGTTCTCGTCACATACGGCTAGAGTCTACGTTCGTGGACGATGACATGAATTCTCTTCAAGTTTACAACTGAATCGAATCTTCGAGCGAAGAAGGCGTGCTTAGAACCAGTACAGAGTGACGGGAATACCGAAGTGTCAAGTAGGCATCACCTCCTGTTTGTCAGAAAATGGTCGACCTCCGCGTAAACCGAGCCGTTAGGAGAATCCTATGTCCCGTTGGCAATTTTCTTTCATCTGGAAAAACGAGTTCCCATGGAAGAGATGTGCTGTAGACAGGAGTCCTGCAAGACGGTTTACATTCTCATTTCTTTCTAATAATACAAAATTTCCGATCCTGTATTCGCTCTCGTTTGCCATTCCTATTCTGTGGTTGAAGCCTCCGATATCAAATTTAAGATACGCTTTATCATTGCAGATAAATTCCTCCAAAGGATAGTAGAACGCACCTAATTCGTACTCATCAGCTGTGTCGGTTGGTGAGTACCAGTTGATGGTTGTGATCTTTTAATGACGCGTCAGTTGAAGACGGAGGATGGCTATACGAGGCGAAAGGATCTCGCATGAGTCGACGAGATGCACAATGGACGGGTGTACGACAAAGCCTACGCCACCGACATTTCGTGACGGGACCTTTTCTCTATGTCGGTCTTCTTGATTAATGTTTCTTGTAGTACAATCACATAAAATTTAATCCGATCTGCGGCTACAAGAAGGGCCAGTGGAGAGTGTTCTGGCATTATACGTGGATAGTAAGAAACAATCTCCATGGCGTGTCGTGCGTGTGTTCGTCAGATCCGGTTCCAATGACGTCCTGCGTAACCCGAAATTTTGTGGCCTCTCACCGGTCGTCTCACCGCCTGACGTCATAGACGAGAGCACCCGGTAGGCGGGGTATTGAGGCTGGCCTATTGCTAGTTGTGCAACATGGTCCTCCCTGGAGTCCTGACTTAACCGTGTAAGGGCGCATCCAGGTCTTCACCACGATGTGAATCGGAGGAAGGCATGTTTTCGACGACGAATCCTTCGCTCGGTTTTCCTACTAGTTCATTCGGAGACGATGTTAAAACTCAAACTTGGGTAATCGTAGGAGACTGCAGCCACAAAATCTAGTGGATAACCGACCTCTAGTAATAAACATGGTAATCGAGTGAAAAGTGTATGGTCTGTTGCTCAATGAACAACACAAAACCAGGCCCTAGCCGGGATCGAACCCGCGACCTTCTGCGTGTAAAGCAGACGTGATAACCACCACACCAAAGGACATTATAGGTGCGAGCGTTGGAAGTCAACACCATAAATCCCCACAGATGTATTCGCAACCAATTTCCTCTTAGGAACGTGCTAATTTTTGAGTATACAGCGTGTAGCGTCTTTATTAATGAACGATGCAAAACTGGGTCCTGGCCGCGATAGAACCGGCGAGTTTTTGCGTCTGAAGCAGACGTGATAGCAACTACACCATAGGACCACAGCAGTATCTTTTGATTCAATCGCAGGACACTACTGCCATATAATCTCTAGTGGCCGACCTATAGTAATAAACATGCAAACTATTCGAATGAACAGTGAATACTGTGTTGCTCAACGAACAATGCAAAGCAAGGTCCTGAGCGGGATCGAACCGGCGACCTTCTGCATGTGAAGCAGACGTGATAACCACTACACCACAAGACCCTAGCTGATGCGACCTTTGGAGGACAATGCCATAAATCCCTATAGATATAACCGTATTCGATTTCCTCTTAAAAACAATCGTCATTGTGGAGATTGCGCTGTGCCTCTTTAGCACTACAAATGATTTGCTTGTTTGAAAAAAAAAAAACCCGCACAGTCCTATTCGACGTCACTGCCCATGTTCAAAGGCGAAACACCAAAAACATTTCCCAAAGTGATCAAACATGATTCCGATAAATTTTTATGAATTGGCCGATGAATCATTCACTATACCACCTCAAATTCTGGCGAACTCATTACAGTAAAAAGCACTGATAGGCAATATTCGCCAAGAACTGAGTCTACGACCCGCGTTAATCAAACGGAAAGGATGGGTGCTAACGCAGACAACTTACGCAACAAAAACCTACTGTTAAAAACTCCGAGACATTGGCTTCCATGCCATATAGCTTCATATAATTTCACCACGAAAGAACAACGAAACTCATCCACTGGGAAAAATTTGCAGATACCAACGGTTTTGTTTCGAAAATTAGTGTAATGAGGTTTAGTATGAGAGGGGATATGTGTATTTGAAGTTTAAGGATAAAAAATTGCATTAGTTAGCACAGAACTTAGCACATAGGAAGGTTCTTCGAGAAATGTATCTAAAATCCTAACAACGAGCAAAAATAGCCCAGCAATAATCAGACGGTAACCTTACGGCACACTAAAAGGGTGAAATGGATGTAGCGCTTATCAGGATATAAAACTCTTCAAAACCTGACAACAAAACAGTGCAAGTAGATGCTAAGATATTTTCATGTCATATGGATTAAAATATTTTATTATCTTAACCCTTTTATTTACTGCCTTTTTCTTTTTAATGGCAGGGTATGTTTCGAAATATAACTCGTATATAATGCTGAGGTATTTGCAAAACTCCGGACCGCAGATGTATGCGGTGGGGAACGAACGCGCGCTATTGTCCTTACCGGTG